AGGTAAGACTAACTGGCCTATAGTTTCCTGGGTCCTCCTTCCTCCCTTTTTTGAAAATGGGAACCACATTGGCCCTTTTCCAGTCCTCTGGCACCACACCAGAGCACCACGAGTGCTCGTAAAGCTGTGCCAGGGGTCCCACAATGACCTCTGCTAATTTCCTCAGCACTCTGGGTGGAGATCGTCAGGACCAGCTGATTTAAGTGAGTCCGATCCCTCCAGAAGTTCCCTGACTAGATCCTCACTGTCCCTACGCCTGGGCGCGCCTCCCCTAGGGCCTACGGTGGTCCCGGTGAGGGGGATTACCTGGTCCCTGCTCAGAAAAATGGAGGCAAAGAAATTGTTAAATAGGTTAGCTTTGTCATCTGGAGCGACGACCAGATTTCCTAGCATGCCTTGCAGAGGCCCCACATTACTCGGTACCCTCTATGTATTTAAAGAAGGACTTCTTGTTGTCCTTGATCTGGGTAGCTAGTCCCAGTTCCATCTCCGCCTTGGCCTTCCTGACCGCCCCCTGCAGCCCCGAGCACCCGAGGTATAGTCATTTTATACCATTGTAAGCAAACATTTCTGGGTGTTTCCCGAGTGTTTTAATTGCACTTTGCCAGGAATTGCTGTAATTGTCCAAAAATTTTCACCCTCTTACCCCCTTTTGATCCGTGTTGGGATTACCTCCCTTTGGGCTTGAAGGATGGTCTCCTTAAGGAATGACCACTCTTCTTGGACACCTGACTCCTCCCCCCCTCTGGGACCTCAGTGCCTCCCTGACTATTTTCCTTACCCCATTGAAGTCTGCCCTCCTGAAGTCCAGGGCTGCTGCCTTGCTGCAGGCCTTTGCCACCTTGCGCTGGATGGTGAATTGCAGCAGGCAATGATCGCTGTCACCCAGGTGTTCGAGCACCGGCAGACCCCTCACCAGGTCATCGCCCATGGCCAGGACCAGGTCCAACAAGGCATCTCCCCTAGTGGGGCTGTGCACCTCCTGGGTTAGATGGAGGTCCTGTATCTCAGCTAGGAACCTATGTGAGTTGTCAGACCTGGCTGACTGCTCTTCCCAGCAGATGTCTGGAAAGTTCAGGTCACCCATGATGACCACGTCCTTTGACCTAACTACCTCTGTGAGCTGATTTAAGAATTCCTGGTCAAGCTCTTCCCTTTGGTTGGGAGGTCTGTAGTAGACCCCCACTGTTAAGTCTCTTTCCCCTCGATTTCCTTGTATTCTAACCCAGAGCACTTCAGTGTGCCCCTCCTCTGACCTTGTGCTACTTGTTGAGGATGTGTATTTCTCCTTGACCCCACCCTTCCTCCCTGTCCTATCCCTCCTGTGCAGCCTGTATCCCTTGATATTCACTGCCCAGTCGTGTGTTGGGTCCCACCACGTTTCTGTGAGCCCCATTATGTCTGGGTCGGTGTCAGCTAGCAGGAGGGTAAATTCCTCCGGCTTGTTTCCCATACTACAAGCATTTGTGTAGAGGCATTTGTGACTACTTAAGCTCCCTAAAAGCTTTTTTTGCAAGGTTTTATCAAGTGATTTTTGAAAGCCAACATTAATTATATATACAAGTACTCGTTAACCACCAGTTTGACATACTTCAAGAATTCTAATAGATCAGAGACATGACTTTCCTTTGCAGAAGCCATTCTGCTTTGTCACAATGGTAATTTGCTTGCTTAAGTATTCTGTAACTCTGCTGCTATCTAGAGTTACTTTTTCAAGTAATTTACCTGAAATTCATGTAAGACTCATTGGTCTGTAATTATAGGATCTCCTCTCTCCTTCATCATGGGTACAACATCACCTGTCCTCCAGCCCTTTACCCTGGTAGCTGATTTTATTGATAATTACCTATTTTTGTTCATTGCTAAACCAGTTCATTTTTAAGTTCTTTAACAATTCCTGGGTGACTACCAGCTGGCAGTGATGACTTACTGCAAATTAAATGATCAGTCTGTTCCATGAGCAACTGCTTTTGATATCTTGATTTGTGACATGCCTTGTCTTTGTCATCCATACAGAGTAGCTCTGTGGCATTTATCTCCCCACTAGTCTCTGTGAAAGTCCTGTGTAATCAGAATTCTGTGTTACTTCACTCTGTCCTCTTGTCCTTTGATGGCAGGTTTTTTGGGTTTTTTGTGGGGTTCATTGGTGCTTTTCTCTCAGAATAATTCATGTCAGTTTCTGGGAACTTCTTGTACATAGCAAATTGTTTCTGGCAATATATTGAACTATATGCTGAAACATATGTGGTATGTTCTGCAGAGATAAAGAATGCCTAGTTAAATCATTCCCTCCTCGGTTTGAATGACATGCGAATTTCAGTGCAAAGATTTCCACCCTTAGTGCTGAACACAGCAAATTTGTATTGTATTTTTGTCTGTTGTAGTAACTCCTAGAGTTTGAACTAAGATGATCCAACCTCCACCCCCATCTCCTAAAGCACCTCAGTCCTCAACCTAACACCTGCTCCATCCATCCCCTGATAAAAGCTAGAGCCCTGGTGGCTTTATTCCTTCATCCAAACCCCACTAATCTGACCTCTGCTCTTTTCCACTGTACGTGCTTTTTCTATCCCTCATAGAACTGTTCTTCAGATCACTACTGCTCCCAGCTTACACTTCTGTTAGGTAAGTGGCATCACTGAGGCATTTCACATGGCCACCACCCTGCAGGGTTGGGCCCTAAATGGTCAGAAATGCCCTGTGCGCCATTACATCTGTTCTAAACCATGGAAGTGTAAAGAAAAGTGAGTTGTGTCTGAAATGCTAAAAGCTAACATGTTTCCCACTGAAGTTGGTTCTGGGGCATGGTTTTCAGCCCTGGCATATTTTGGGTCTCACTTGCAGAGTTCAGTGGTCACAGTGTGTCTTGCATGGCAGAATGCCTGGCTGGAGGGAAGTCATGGCTGTACAAGATTGCAGTCCATGCAACTAGCTGGCACATCTTCAAAGGACCGTGACATGGTATGCAGAAGAGAGCATCACAAAGTGGTATTTTCCAGTAGTCTGTGCTGTGAGTAGTCTTAGAGCCCCAAACACAATTTTTACTGCACTTTGGAGATTGTAAGCAGTTTATGTAATGCAAAGGCAGAGGGGGAGGCTAAACTTATTCTCCAGAACACAGCTGTGGGCAGTTTCAGTATTGGATGAATCAAATTTCCTAGCAGATAAAGGGGGGCTCAGTAACCAGAGGGGAAACACAGAGTGGTGCCCTCAACATTCCACTGGGTTTATAATTAATTAAAAAAAAAAACTGTTGATAAGAGTAATAGTTAAAGTAGGAAATTACTAATTAGTAACCAAAGAACGCAGTGTTTGATTCACAGAAGTATTTTATTATTTCCCTTTTACTGTAATAAAAGGATTGCAACTTCAGCAAAAGCAAGTTTAAAAAATACTGATATTATAATTGATTGTCTTTTCATTAGCTGTCAGATTTTAAGTTTCTTGTTCTTTTTCAGAGTCATCTCAGACATTACAGGCATGAGACTTCCCAGAAAAAAATGCATTTCCTCCTTAATTGTCATTTGCAGCTTGCAGATTTTCCCACTAGATTTTTTTTTTCTTGTAAGGTCTTACATTTCACAACACACAAGAGTGACCACTTAGAACATTATTATACATTATCATTAGCATCTAAGTTAGGTTATTCAGAAAGCTGCAAGTTGGATGAGCTGAGTATCATTTTCTCCTTTAGCATTATGGTAATGTAATACATTGATTGAAGCCAATCTGATCATGAATTTTGCTGTTTATGAGAATTTTTGAGCAATTTTTTTTTTTTTTTTTTTAGGAAAGTGAACTCAGAACAAAGTATAGCTACAAAAAAACCCACAAGATGCCAGCTACCTCCTGTCCATGCACAGCCAGGTAGATCTGTGTGTTCACCTTGAGATGTTAGACAAAATAAAGCCAGTGGGAAATGATGGGGACTCAGGATTTCTGAACATCAAGTCACTTGTTCAGATGCCTAAATGTGGATTTAGGAACATAACTTCAGGCAGCACCCCAATGTTGAAAATATCAGCTGTATTGAAATAGTTAGTGAATTAATGGTTCTTATTTGAAAATTCCTATAGTAGTTCCTTGATACCAGGGTCAGCAATATGGGTTGCTGTTGCCAAAGGAAGATCTATCAAGGTCTCTAGGCTCTATAAATATCCTAAAATTAGAAGGAATAAGGAGTAGTCTTTGACAGGAAAAGTCAGAATGTATTTACACATAACAAACGGGTCTATTCTGCACCCTTTCTTGCTAGATTTTTTTTAACACATATAGGTTCTTTTGCATGATGATGATAGTTAGGAAAATATTATTTTGATTTCAATCTGGATCAATTGGAGTAGCATTAAATAAAGACTCACAAAATGAAAACCAAGGTCTGATCCTTTGTAGGAGTTTCTTTAACAGAAGAGGAATCTTATATTAGCTTCCTGTTGTAGTTCAGATGTTTGCAATATAAGCAAGCTGTGCCATACCAAAACAAATTGGCTTATAAACATTACCTGTACAGATTTCTGGATCTTTTCTGACAGGCTTCCATTGTAGTCTGCAGTAAAAAAAATCTAAAATATCTGGAGTACATATCCTTTCTGCAGCAAATCTCTGAAAAGTGCTAACATGTTATAGTGGCCTGCTTTTATGCTTTTGTAGCCATAGCAAATGACACTGTCTTTTCTTACTCCAGATATTTTGTAGACTTACTCCAGATATTTGTAGATAAGTGAAGAATATGTCTTGTATTTCTATAACAGGCCAGCATAATACCATGTTTGCATTCCTTTTCTAGTAGGAACTATTATAGATCTTTTTTCAATACTGTAGCATTCTAGTCATAGTTTCTATTTTACATATTTAGCATTAAAATTAGTACTTTTTAGGTTTTTTTACAGTAATGAGATCGGATTTTTCTAATCAGTGTTTGGTATATGCATGTCTGGCCAGTTAATACCTTTTTTCTTAATCCATAATTTATTTTACCTGTTGATCGACATCTTCAATAGCCCCTCAACTATTTTGTGTGTGCATGCTGATCTTTTATAAATTTTCACTTAGGTAAATAAAAATCAAGTTACATAGTCTAAAAATGAGAGAGAATTAAAATAAATTATTGCATCGGTTGTGTGCAAATAAAGGTATTTCATTTCTTCTAGCTTTTAAGATGTCAAAAAACGTTCAGTTTTAAGTGGTACAAAGCATTCACAGGTAGCATTGAAAGCACTCCCATATATGTTCTTTTAGAGATTGGGATGTGAACACAAAGCAAACAATAGGACTGAAAGTGAATAAGGAAAGATTAATTACTTAGACACAAATGGGGTTTCTGGAGTAATAGGGCTGAAGGTAACTGAGGAAGAATTACTGTGGTCAAAGGGACAATCCATTGTGTACAAGGAACAGCAGACAAGGAATTCTGTGTTACTCGGTCACAGTGAATGTTACATATGTTAGAAATATTTTGCATAGTCCATGGTCAGTAAAAGGAAACTTGTTTCACTCCCATTTCCATGGACACATAGACAGAGACAAACCATTGCACTTGTTTGGTACCCATTGCAGGACAAGTGCAAAGTCCTGCACCTAGAGTGGAATAATTGCATGCATAAATAGAGATTGGCAACTGACTGGCTAGGCTGCAGTGCTGCAGAGAAGGACTAGGAGTTACAGTGGAGGTTATAGGCTGACTATGAGCTAACAGTATGGTATTGTTCCAAAAAAAGGCCAACAGCTTACTGGGTTGTATTAACAGGAGTGTCATTTACAAATCAAGGCAAGTGATTCTTTTGCTCTAGTCAGCACTGGTGAGGCCTCACCTGGAGTATTGTGTCCAATTTTGGGCCCCACACTTCAAGAAAGATGTGAGCAGTTTGAAAAGAGACCAGTGCAGTGCAACCAAAATGACTAGGGGTATGGGAAACATGGTTTATGAGGAAAGGCTGACAAATCTAGGGTTATTTGGTCTAGAGAAGAGAAAAGACTGAGAGGAACTTTGATTAACAGTCTTCAGATACCTGAAGGGCAATTTAGAGAAGGTAGAAATGGGCTTTTGGCTCTGTAGCTGTAGGGGATAGGATTAGGAGCAACGACCTCAAGCTGCAGCGGGGGAAATTTTAGTTTGGAGATTAGGAGGAGCTTGTTGACTACAGATGTGGTTGAGCATTGATACAGGCTACCTTGGGAAGTTGTGGAATCAATATATTTGGAAATTTTCAATAGCAGGTTAGGTAGGCACTTGACTAGGATGGTTTAGTCAGGGATAATCCTGTTTTAAGCAGAATGGCCCTATGTTTCTGCAAACCCCCAGTGCTCGATCACATATACAAGTGAAAAAGAGAGGGACCATCCAATTCTTAATTTGGCAAGATAGGAAATGGAAAACATTCTCTCTTCTTCCATAGAAGTTTTATGCCTCCAATTAATTTGCATTGCTTTTGCCACACCTGAGTAGCAAGGGAAGTTTAGGTTAGATATTAGGAAGAATTTTCTTACTAGGAGGGTAATAAAACACTAGAACAGGTTACCCAGAAAGGTGGTGGAATCTCCATCCTTGGAAGTTTTTAAGACCTGGCTAGATCACGCTGTGGTTGGGATGATCTAGTTGGTGATGGTCCTGCTTTGAGCAGGGAGTTGAACTAGATGACCTCCTGAGGTCTCTTCTAACCCTAATTTTCTGTGATTCTATGATTCTATGACATTAATCCTAGAGCCTCAAAACACTCCCTGAGCTTTGAAAATGACTCATTAAGACAATAGGAAGTGAGATAATCACAGTAGGTTGGTACCGTTTATCAAGAAAACCTACCAACACCACCTTTCCCTGTAAGCAGGGGCTTTCAGTATAAGATCTAGAAACTCAGTGTAAGATCTAGAAGCAACTGAACATATGCCTCAACTTAAATATCGGGGTTTTTTAACCTAACACAAAACTAAAGGGACAAAAGATCACAACTTCGTCTCTCCAACAGAAAACCAGATGGTCCCTTTTTTTTGTTGCTATAATTCTCCAAAGCATAAAGTATCACTTTGTTGTGATTTTTTTTTTAACTACAAAATAGGAAGTTTTAAGAATATATTGGTTTCCTTTTAGTTTTTGACATGTTGTGCCCTAGTCAAAAGTCTAGTTTGATTTTATATTGTGGGGAAACAAAGGCTGCTAAGTGGGATAGAAAAAAGGCTTGTAATGTAAATGTCTTTCCAGATATCTTTCCCCAGCTCTTTGTTCTGACTAAGAATTAATGTGCTGATCAGCAGTTCTGCAGTTAGCTGCCTAGCTCTTGCAGGACACAGAAATCATGATGTAATCTCCCTCTCTCAGCTAAATCTGTGATAACAGTAATAACCCTTCAGCAATATCTCTACTTATTGTTGTCATTTCTATTTTAGGGTGTGAACGGAATGTCTGTGGATGAGAAGACTGAATCCCCCATGTATGTGTATGAGTCAACAGTCCATTGTACCAATATCCTCCTGTGCCTCAATGACCAGCGGAAGCAGGATATTCTCTGTGATGTGACTTTGATTGTGGAGGGGAAAGAGTTCCGAGCCCACCGAGCTGTGCTGGCTGCTTGCAGTGAATACTTCTTGCAGGCGTTGGTGGGGCAAACGGAAAATGACCTGGTTGTCAGCCTGCCAGAAGAGGTACAGTATGTCATCATTCCTCTGTCATCAAAACAATCCCCTCTTACACATGATTAAAAAAGGTTCATGATCTGCTACTGACTAGCCAACTAAGCCTCAATAGACAAATCCAAATGTAGCACAGATTCTAGGTTCTGACTCTATCATGACTGTTGCTATGATTTTTCTGTTTCGGTTGGTTAAGAGTTGCTGGATGCCCCTCGAGAGAAAAAGAATGAACATATTCACAGAACCTTCTCTGCTGGAAAAAAATCAGCCAGCAATTCTAACAGTTACTATAGTAAAGCTTTAAAATTGTTTGAGCTTGCCTTTCTCACCACTGCTGAAAGGGTAATACCCAAACAGAGGTCACTTAATTACTATAGCTCCATTCAGTACATTATGGAGTTATAGTACATTCAGCACCCTGATATTCTTCTGGTTTTCTAGACAGGAAATTTTAAAAGGATCATTTGGCTCTCAGAAATAGGGTTATTATTTAAAAATCACTTAAACCATCATGTTATTTTGAGCCTGCTTGCCACCCACCCTGTTTCAGCAACTAATATCCTGGTTCTTCTTTTTTGTTTTGCGTGTATCACTCATTCAGCCTGGCTTCCTTTCTCTTCCGCTCACCACTCATCTGACGTTTAACTGCTTTGAGCCAAGTGATTTATGCTAGAAGGACTAAGCTGAACATTCTTTTGGAACACAAAGTTATAGGTTTTTTTTGTTCTCATGCAGAATGGCTCAAATACAAAGGGGCAGAGTAACCTTACAGCCATAACTCAATGGTCAACCCCTTTTTGTTGATTGTTTGTTTGTTGTCCACAAATATGCACTAGCTGGTTTCTAATTTTTGTGGTTTCCTAGTAGACATCAGTCTAAACTGTCCTGACTGTCACAGGATTCTTGTGCTTTTGGCACAAGAAGTTTACATCATGGCCCTTTACATGCACATTAGAGTTCTACACTGTTTCTTTGTTCCCCTACTGCATCATGGTGGAATTATGCCACAAGATAATTCACCTAGTTCAAGTGTATCCTCCTGTTCCATTGTGCAAGCATGTCATTCTGGTTTACTTGTTGGACAAGTAGTTCCGAAGCCAGCCAATCCTTTGATAAGCAGGTGTTAAATGGAATGAGACGCACTTCAGTTCAGTAGAGGTTACTTTATACCTATTGGACCTGGAAGAATGGTTTTAAATTATGACATGACTAACAATGCTTTTTACCCCATGGGTTGGCTCTACTTAGGCTCTTATTAGTATTAATACTATAGCTTTGAAATCATACCATGGCATTATTTGGATGCAGTGTGATTTCAGGTTATGAATACATTGTAGCCCTGCCTGTATGCACAACGCTTTGAGTAGGTCATATAGTATGTGTATGCATTATGTTTCTGCACAGTTGCAGAAGTTAGGGCAGGGTGGCACTTAAAGACTAGCTGATTCAGAAAGGCAGGGCATGAGCTTTCACAGGCAACAGCCTATTTCATCAGATGCTGTCATCTGATGAATGATACCTACCTGTCTTCTCCCTGACTTCAGACTAGAATGGCTTAACCACCTTTATTTCTACACAATGCTAGTTAGTTAATCTTCCTATAGAAAATCTTAAGAGGGTAGTGAATCGTCTCTTACTGCAAAGCAATTTGGGTAGTAAAAAGGGACCAGAAAACACACACAGAGGCAGAAGATGAAAAGAGAGGGGGAAGTATTAACACAGTGGTGCAAATCCTGGTAAGACCTCATCTTGAACACTAAGTACAGGAGACCCTCACCATTCGCGGAAGATACATTCTCATATCCCCCGTGAGTGACGAAATCCGTGCATAAGGCACTGCATTCTTGAATGCCGTCTGCGTTCATGAGTGCAGTGCCCCCGGCAGCTGCGGGGGGGCACAGCTGCGCTGGCAGTGGCGGGAGCATGGTGGTGGCAAGCGCAGAGCTCCCGAGGAGCTCCTTTAAGTGTATTTAAGATGCAGGTTCGGCATTCACGAATATTTGAAACTGCAAATGCTGAACCCGTGAATAGCGAGGGTTTCCTATACTTTTTAAGAAAGATGAACTGGAACAGGTGCAGAGGAAGACTACTTGCTTGATCAGGTGAATGGACTGCCTATCTCATGAGAGAAGATTAAAAGAGCTTCACTTGTTCTGTGTAGTAGAATGAAGGCTGAGAAGGGCATACGATTGCTCTCTGTAAATACACTGAAGAAGGTAAACACCAAGGTGGGAGATGAGCTGTCTAAAGCTTGCTTGTGTCAAAGGACAATGGTGGCTCAAGAACAAATACCTATTAACTGGTCACAAATATAGAGTGGAAATTAGAAGGTTTATGCTGCTCAGAGCAGTCAGATTCTGGAATAGCCTACCAAGAAGAGTAATGGAAGTAAAAAACCTAGATAGTTGTAAAATAGAGATTTGGTCTGTTTGAGAGGGATTATATGATGAAGTTGCCTGTAATAGTATGGGACTAAACTAGGGGTGCACCAATAAAGATTTTGGGGGCTGATACCGATAGCCAATTTTTATGGAGGCATATTGGCTGATACCGATCCAGTTTCTTATACAGCATGGAGAGCTGTGCAGCTGGTAAGTCTGTTGTGGTGAAGCGGGGAGGGAAGGGGCATAGGGGACAGATCAAGGCCCCTGTGGTGAGGGAGGAAGCGGGGCTGGGGCAGGCACTGACCAGCCAGGGCTTGTCCAGCAGACGTGGGGATGGCTCCTGCTGCACACACCCTGTGAGGGCATGGGGGGGTGCCCCCGGATCTGCGTGAGGTGGCTGGGGCTGGGGTTGAGACTGTACCAGATGCACTTGGGGTGGGCAGTGGTGGTGGGAGCAGGGCTCTGGGGGGAGGGGGCAGCAGCCACCCCAAAATTCACTGTAGCCCTCTCAACCCCCACTCCTAGCACCGCCGCTGCCCGCCCCAGTGCAGCCCAGCCCAGCCCCTCCAGGAAGAGCCTGATGCAGCCCCAGCCCGTAATGGCATCCCACCCCGTCACACAGATCCAGAGGCACCCCAGGGTTTGCACAGCGCTGGGAGCCCTGACATTTCCACCAGATGAGCCACAGCTCTCTCCCATGCCTACCCCGCCCCAGCTGGGCAGTGCTTGCCCTAGCCCCTGCCTGGTCCCACTCCCTTTTGCACTGCGGGGGCCTTGATATGCCTCTCCATGCCCCTTCCATCCCCCCTTCCCTGTCCAACACAACAGATTTACCAGCTGGACACAGCTTTCCAAGCTGCCGGGCTGTGCTCCTCATCACCTACATGCTGCACTGTGGCTATGTGCACATACAGGCATTTATTGGCCATGTTATCAGCACATCAGGCCAATTTTCAATACAGCCAATTTTCTTTATATTGGTGCCGAACTGATATCAGACCGATGTATCCGTGCACCTCTAGACTAAATTTAGTGATCCAGGAAGTCTCTTCCAGTTCTGTGTTCCTTTGACACAACTAAGGATAATAAAGACATGATGATCTGATGATATACAAGTTTGTGCCCGTCTGGCCTCGAACATCTGGTCACATGCCGCTCTGGCCCAGATGTGCGGTGGTGTTCGCTTGTCCGTCCCTGGTGTTCCACTGAGTAGATGTTTACCTCCTGTGGAGTCTTCCCCCCAATCTCGCCTGCCACGACTTTGAATCTTGCTTCAGTGGAGGGGGTCCAACCACTGGGGAGTCTCTTGATGGCGGGACGTCTGTCTGCCAGTCTTCTGCGAGGCCCCACCTCCCCTCTATCTCACCCTTACACCTAGCCTAGACGGGTCACAGATGTCCTCCTGGCCAGGTCCCCGACCGTTGAGCCCCTGACTACGTTTGCCAGGATTGTTCTGCTTTACCAGTCCTCAAGATCCTACCCGTTCCCTGAGGCCATCTTCCTTTTCCTAAGGCTACCAACCCTCTTGAGAATTAAACAGCAATCCGGCACTACATGCCCTGTCCCTCAACCCCTCCAACAGTGGGCAACAAAAGAATACAAACAAAAATCGCTGAAACACTCTAAGGAGCCCAGCCGCCCCTTTTCCCGGCTCCCTGGGCCCTATCACCAATGCCTGCCTTCCGAACCTCGTGGTCCAAATTTGGCCCTATATGCGGCCTTGGTAGCCTGTGGGCTACTCCCCTCTCCTTCTCCCTCATTGCCCAGCCTTTGGCTTTGCTGGACCACTGTGGTCCTCCAGCGGATGTCTTCCCCCGTGCTACCCGCTGGGGTGGCTCAATGCCCCCCGAGGGCTGTACTTTGCAGCCCTTCTTCCTGCTCTTGCCTCCCGGCTCCCCCCTGGAGCTCCTCATCAGTTCTCCCAGGGCCCTCAACGGTCCCACCTGGTCTGGTGTTTTGAGATGCTCTGGTCTCTCCTGCTGTGGCTATTGGTGATGAGATCTTCCTGTTCCCATCTGCCCTTTTGTCCGGGGTCCCGGTCACGAGGGGCCATCTCTGGCTCCCTGCCCCCTTCACTGCCGCCAGCAGCATCTGTCCTGCTGCGTGCTCCGCAGCATCCTCCCCAGCTGGGAGAAGCCGCTTCCAGCTCTTTTTGCCTCCGCCGGAGCTCGGGGAAGCCCTCTCCTGCCGGTGCTCTCACCGGCGACGCTCTCCTCTTTGCCAGTGGCCTGCTTTATTTCCGCTGGCCGACGATTGCGGCTTACGTCATCTGCTGGCCGCAACTGTATAAAGGCACGGCTAATGAGCCACACGGGTCCCTCCTCAGGCTCTGGCTGCGTCACAGTTCCCCCTGCAGGTGAGTATTTCCCTTTTTCTTTTATTTTCCTCCGATGGTTCCTGACCCCGGGGTTCACCTCTGGCCTTTTGGGGTCCTCCCTTCTGTTCCTCCCTGTGACAGAGTTCTACTTCAGGAAGTCAGCATTAAAATAAATAGCATCTTTATCATTTTTAGGGTAATCCAAGATTTTAAAAAATCTAAAAATATAGAGGGAAAATTCAGAATACTCGTAGAGATTTTAGGGATAAATTTTCTGCTTCCAAGCTGTAATAAAGTCAATAGAATCTAGT